GGAAACGTTAGGTTTGATAGCAAGTATTACAATGTAGATTGAGTAACAAGTGCTGTTATGATAATGGCTTTCCTTGTGTTTTTAATACTGGATGATAACCACCACATGAAACCTGCGTAAGTTGTCCCTGCAACATGGCTACAAGTATCATAGGGATTTAAAACAATTGCTCAATAGCCTCACAATTGTTGTAGCCATGTTGTAGGGATGGTATGGTTGTAGGCAAAAGGTGTGTCTTCTAATTTGGCTTTTATTTATTTGTTGTTTTGGAACTTCTAGACTCATTCCCAGGCTACTTTCCAGCTCAAATCCAAGATGGTGGATGCTGTTGTTCTCTGAGGACCAGAGACATCAGTACTTCATGCTAGACCCTATGAATTGGCACTTTAACTAACTTCTCTGTATTTTTAGTCTTACACGAAGTACTAAGCACCGAAGAGACAGATGAAAAGTGATTTCATGCTGTATAGGTCGAGAGTGGCATGGGGACTAGACTATGAAGCCACAGCCATTCCTTTTCCAAAAGAGATTGTATAGCCTCCTTTGCAGACGTTATTTGTATTGGTCCTATGTTCCCTCTCCAAATGATACTAATAATGTCTGCAAAAGACTATAGTGATTGTATCACTAGATTCTATAGTTTTGATAGTTAGCTTGTACAGCATACTTTGTATCTTAAACTATTTTAATAGTATGTTCAACAGAGACTTGTATTTTTGTAGATTAGCCGWGATAGAGTGATGCATTAGACATCTTACAATCATTTGCATTGCTAAACTATCTCAGAMAAATAGGCAGGTGATTGACTGCTGTCAATCAAATAGTCTCCTCGCAGCCATGGTTTGTTTCGGTTAGGCAGCCTGTGTTGCATCCGGACAAACCACGGTTAAGTCCGTCTGTGAAACAGTGCCAAAAAGCTTGTTCCGACCCTCGACGGACTAGCAAAGATATATAAAGCGATTTCTGATTGGCTGTTACCAATTCGAATCATCTAACACGGTCGATGATTGGTCAATGACTTGTCACAACAATCAYTAGTACTCAGGCCCTACTGCGAGGAGACTATCAATCAAGATTTTCATAAAAAAAACAATGAATTTTAAAGCAGTATGTAATTGCTAATTGCAGTAATGAAGCCAGGCTTTAAAGTTTTTGGTAATTTGTTTTTCTATTTTTTTTTTCTTTCGGGTTTTGCTTTTGTATATTTTCGTTTTTCTTTTTTATTCTTGCTTGTTTGTTTATGTTGTTGTTTTGTGTGTTTTTTAATTCTTATTTCAATGGACAATGTGAGGCATCAAAGTCAGCAATGATTTCTTTTCTAGCTTTCATCCGCAATCGATTCTAACAGAGCGTCGGATCTGCGGTTTACAAATMTTGGGTCCAATATATCCGTCACAATTCTTGAATTATAAGCATCTCCCAGTCCGATTGTCGATAWTCTTTCTGGAAATACTTGTACTCGTGTTCTATTGAACATTTTRTGGCTAAAGCTGTTTTGCACGGCGCTGACACTCTTCCGTAACGTYCTCTTGAAGATACTTCTGAAAATCACGTACGTAAAKGGATTTGCTACAAAACCACTTGCCGCAAGCTTGTTCGCGATAAGATCGGCGGCTGGGCTCGGCAGGACTTCGAARAAATGACAGTAGAAGCGCACCTGCAAGGGAAAAAACCCTCAATTCTCAATCTCTTATGAATTATGTGTATATAATGCGCTTTATGTCATGGGGGCTCATATAAGATTTACTTGGCCTCCTTTGCAGACGTTATTAGTATCGGTCATTAGTATCGGTCATACGTTCCCTCTCTTGACTAATAACGTCTGCAAAGGAGGCTAGATTTACTATTGTTTCTGAAATCCTAGTCTCCTTCGCAGCAATTCCTGTCCGATGTCCTGCATCCTACCCCCACCCCTACCCCCGATAAATCAAGGGCTGTGGGAACGTAACAGGAGACCTCAACAAGACTTAGTAGTTCCCCTCTACTAACCCTGCCTCAAATGAAACTATGGTGTCTTTTCAAGCTCTAATATACGAGCGCTTCCTCCGACTTCATGTCCACCACAGTRCRCGTGGTGATGTCCTTCTCCTCATAAAGGGCATGGTGGACGAAATCTACGCCTTCTTCCGCTGCGCGCGCGAAGGGCACCATTTTTTCCTCTCCTCGGATGGTAYAATAACTCGTGAAGAKMTGAAGACTATTCACTCAAAGTTCTTACCGTTAAAGGAAGCCATGTTACAAGGAATATCAACGACACAGACGCTACAAACTCGGCCATTTGTTCTTCCTTCTTAGCGGCAATGCACTTTCTCCTTGAGGATGTTTTCATCTCGGAAGGAACTATTTGGCAAACTTTGCTCTTCAACTTCCATACGAGTGTGTAAACTATAATATTCGACACAAGCATAACAAGAATCACAAGCGCTGCCAGTATCCCTAGAATAAGAATAAAGTACTTGTCTTTTGGTTGATTTGAGTACCAATCAAAGTGGCAGACATACGAGGCGCTTTGACTTGCAACGTAGCTTCCGAGTCCCATGAACGGTAGAGAGGAAACGAGGCAGCAGAACGATAGAATTGATATGCAGATWGCTCGGGCAAGATTTGGTGAGGCAGCGGTTTTGTAGAAGAATGGTTTGTAGAGTGAAACGGTACGATCTATTGCCATGAAGGTTACTATGGAACCAGAACATATACACGATGCRCAAGTACAAAATGCCTGTRGAAAGAGGCGACAGTTTAATCACAAATGAAGGGCGTCACATTTACATAGAATGGGCTCAATTTCGATAGAAAGTTYAAAGTTTGCTATGGGCAAGCAATATCGGATCAATACTTTTCACCGCATCTTAGCTTCTGAAAAACTAGAATACTTTCATGTTTTTGATGAGTCAAGTGTCCTCAATAAACAATACCCATAAAAAGAGAGGGTTTCAATGGGGTTGACCGTGAGCCGTGAAACGGCCTGAAAAATTAGCCGTGCCTTGTGGAAATGCAAAAAAATTAGCCGTGAGGCGTGAATAGTTTTTTTATAGCGTGAGCCGTGATTCAGTTTTGTCCCTCAGAAGGACACAGTCGACTCCGGGCGCGCGCTTGTAATTTTTTTTTCTTTGTATAAAGTTCAGGAATTGTTTTGCCTAAATCTTTCACTTTTCCACCCACACCCCCTCAAAAAAAATTATACCATCTTAAAATTGATATCTTGTCTAATTACTTTAAAACTTTCAGAATTTATACAACATGATACAATGTCCATACGAATGGAAAACATCTCAGCGTAGGTACGGTTACCATATGAATAGCCACTGTGAAAACTA